TTACAAACCTCAAATTAAATTGATACAGTACATCACAGTAGCTGGACTCCATATAATGGTATGTTCTCCCCACTTAAAAACAAAAAGTCAGGCTCCCATGCGCTCTCAGGTTCAACTTCAAACTTGTCAGTTCAATGCCAACTGAGAAAGAGGCCCACGGCAACTAGGCTGCTAGTATTCATCTAGGTTGTCAGCTTTGGGTATGGACAGGCCTCGGTCCTTCAGGACCTGCATTTTGACTTTCTCTGTCTCCTGTTTGGCTTGCTGCTGCAGCCGCTGCTCCTCCAAGATCTCTTCAATGGAGACTTGCTGCAGCACCGTGTCACAGGGCTTATCCATGTCCTGCAAAGACAAGAGACCGTGTCACATCTTGCACAGGCCTGAAACACTCAGATAATACTACTGAACACATTTTAATTGGAATTACTGGGCGTTCTGGAACTTTGAATTGTTACTAATAAAATACCTGATCAAAAATTTGATTATTGACAAACAATCTGATTACACTAATGAAGCAAACAAGTGTCTTTATCAAACACAAATAATGTAGAAGAATAAAGTGAACCTCTGTGCTAATGACTTCTCCAAAAGCCATTTCCTTTTTCCAGTTAAGGAGGACAGGTTGCACACCTGCCACTTCCTAGAACTAAAGGCATGAAACATCTGCAAATCTTCAAGAAGACTGCATGGTTCATGCCAACCATCAATCACAAACTGCTTTCTGATAATAAGCAGCATGAACAGAAATGCTGTTTATTCATGCTTGACAAACATTTTCTTAAAACTATACATAAATGAATGCGTGCAGAAGATGTCGTATGCTGAGACTATGTGCCTTTTTGTGCGTCAATATCATTTCTGATGTGACACAGGATTTGATGTCAGCTTACGGTCATCGTTTGCCAGATGCAAGCTCACCAAAAGGCACCAAGTAGTTAATCACTGCCGTTCCATTTCCATCAGCATTTCAGAACAGAAATAAATTAACAATCAAATGAACCTAATCATCAGGCAAATGTCACAAAAGGCAGCAACATCTTCTAAAGCACTGAGAAGCAGATCAGAGTACAGGTGCTGTTGAGCCTCTGCTATGACTGAAGCAGTTTTACATCATGACATGCTGTACTGTTACAGCATGATGTGGATCCCTTTAACAGCAGAGTACTGCTGTCAAGCATTAGGTAGGAATAACAGCGCAAGAAGAGTTCATGAATCACTTCTGCTCAGTGTACTGGCCTTGAAGGTCCTGTGTCACAGCAGTGTCCCTGTAATGCGTCACCTTGGTTGTTGACGTACATCAGACAAGCATGATTAAGGAGAGTCGGATGTTAAGGATGCATCAGCAGCTTGCACTGTTGTCTCTTAGGAAGGAGTTTGAGCCCACCAGTCTTTCTGGCATCTGTTTGTACCAGAAAGACTGGTGAGGGTTCTCCGGCTTTCTATCACAGTCCAAAGATAACCATGTTAGGTTAATCGGTGATTCTAAATTGGCCCACGAATGGCTGCGCGTCTCTCTGTGAGAAAGGCCAGATCTCAATCTGTGTCAACTGGGATAGGCTCTAGCCCGAGGACCCTTAGCCACCATTTATGTCAAGCCCTACTCTCACAACTGTATCAATGCAGTGTGTGAAGGACATAAGGAAATGTAAGTAACAATGTCTAGTGAGCCTTACTTTGCATCCTTCTGACCATTTCAAAAACCAAAGTGAAAACGAGATTATGTCTACTTACTATCTCTCCAAGCAGCACCACATTTTCTCCTCTCACGATGAATATTCCTCTGGGGATGTCACCAAACTTTTTTCCCACATGGATGCGCTCAACTGTCTGGTGAAAAACTAAATTGGCTGGAGGACAAAAGAACCGGGGTAAATAAAGAACAGACCCGATCATGGGAATCATAATGACAGATAAACTGAGCCTGCTGTAACCAATGCAGTGACCCGACTCAGAAAAACAATACTAAAGGTGGATATAATTAAGAGTTTTACCAAACTGATCAATGCTTCTCAGGTAACCAATCAATGTTCTTCCATCTCGGAGCAGCACCAGGTGCTTCTCTGTGGGATACAAACAAGAGGAGCACGTTAAATGACAGTTTAAACCCGCTGCAGATGATCCAGATTGCGTCGGACACGATGCTGCACATCTTGAAACGATTGTTTCTTTTTAAACCAAATCAGCTCCATCAAATCACTCCTCCAACTTACTATCGATGTCGTCAATGAGGCTTGCCGTCCCTGGTACGTAGTTCATCTTGTGCTGCTGCTGCTTCTTCTTCTTCTTCTTCTTCTTATTTGAGTCTTATATCTGTATATACCGTCAAGCCATTAATGTTTCAATACATGTTTCTCACAAAATTAGCACAGGAAGCGTCTTTATACACGCCAGGGATGAACTTCCTGTAAGCATTTAACCCTTCGTGTGCTGGCGATTCACTACATTTCTAACACGCAGGAACGGCCCTTTAAAAAATACATCTTTAAATAAATATAACTTCAGGCATCGGTGGGTTTTGAAGATTAAAATAGCAGTTAATGTTTTTAAAATGTTATTTTTATGACCTTTCCCCCCATTGGCCAATAACGTCTACTGGCGCGCATGCGTCGGCAAAGATCGTATTTACACAATATTGGTCACAGAGCCGGAACAATTCAAAACGCCGTACATTATGTAAATACATGTATATTTTTGTTGAAATACGCCCAGAAAATAGACGTTTAACGTCTTAAAATCATATCATAAATTTATAGCTAGTGTAATGATGGTAGACTCTGGCGTTACTTTCTCCGTCCAAACGTTGGTTGTGCCAGAAAAAATCGGACGGAGTGAGACATCTGTAGGTTTAGCAGCGCCTCGCTATTAAAGGCGCAGCACGGGGGCGCTCACGTCATTCAGTCGTTTCCCGACTTCAACCGAGGGGTCCGCACTTGTATAGGAAAACGACAACATTGCTGCTGGCGTTTCAGACGACCTGACACATCCGATAAGTAACGCGAGGCTCGCTGCAGATTTGTTTCCCCCCTCCCACAATGATAGATGACAGGGCGGCTGCTGGTAAGAGCGCTTAGTCCAAGCATCATCATTATCAAATGCAGTCTAATCTGAAACCCGGCTGGCCCTCGACTTGCAACTCCGGAAATAATCACGGGAACTGGAATAACAGTATGGTAAGTAAGTGGACACAGCTCAGACATATTCTCGTGGTATTCAGACTCTTTTGGTGTCTTTAAACCTTAAAGAAAAGCGTGAATTTGTGGCCGAGATCATTTTCAGCCAGCTCGCACAAAGCCCTGTCTATGCTAGCTGCGTGGCTAACTGAGCTAACTAGCATTATGTAATAGTAACGGCTAAGGACAGAGTTCAGCTGTTTTCCGGGACTTTTACGTTAATCTTGACGTGACGCCACTGTTAATAAGACTCCACGTGTTTGAAAGAAGGAGTCAGTATTTCGTGTCTTTCTTGTGACATGTTGGGCCCTTTTATTTCCGGTTAGTTTTTCTTAAGGATTTTGCATAACTGGTTCCGCAGGCAGATGAACCAATGTCCCTGTTTGCACAGTTATTGTTTGTCCTGGGATTGGTTGTGACGTTGAAGGCGTAGTTTTAAAGTTTTGTGTCATACCAATGTCTATTTGTAAGTACTCTGGTGCCAACCATGCTTTGTGACTGTATTTGCAGGATGCTCCTCAGTATCCAGGCTACCCTCCACACTACTGGTATCCTCAGTCTCATTCCACAGGGCACTATGCAAATACCTATCCCTCTGGATCAGATGTTCAACCACAGTACAATCCACAGGTATGGCTATACAGATGCAGCATAACCAGTACCTCTAACTCTAAGGTTGGGTTAGTGGATTTATGCTTACATTTTCATATTAACATCTATCTTGTCAAAGTTGTTGTATCTCTGATGGATTTATACTTTTTATTTTAAATAACTAGTTCCCCTTCTTGTGTCTTTCACATAGGTAATGCCTGGTGGTTATCCAAACGGCCATGGAGTCTACAGTCCAGCACAGAGTCAGTATTCAACAAGTGGTTTCCACCCATCCAACCCTTTCTACTGTGCTGACCCTCAAAGACCGGCTCCGGGTTCTTATCCTAACCAAGGCTGCCATGCAGAGCAAAGCAGTGGGTCTTCTGGACAGCCTCATTCTCAACACCAGCATCATCACTACCCTGGGCCACACTGCCAAGGGGTTGGTGCATTTAAGCGCACACAGTTTTCAAATATAACAATAGTTTAAATAAAGTCTTACAAATGAGGTATATTATACACTGTAATTTTATTTTTATTTATTTATTTATTTTATCTAAAAACAGATGCCTTTTTTTTTAAACGCAAAAGAAATGTTTTCTGAATGTGAGACATTTGTCTTCTGCTCTCAGGGTCCTGGATATCCTCCCGGACCGTACCCTCACTACAATGATAGTGGCCATGCGTTGCCTCCAAATCCCCCATACCCAACTGGCCAGTCACTTCATCCCAGCCAGCAGGCTGACGCATGGGGACACTCTGGTCCATATGTACCCTCACAGCAGCCATGGCCGCCGGGGCAACAGCCTCCACAAAACCATTATGGGAATCCAGTCCGTCCACCACATCCTCCAGCGTGGCCAGGAACTGGAACAGGTGCTCCTCCACCGTACCAGCCCAAGGTAAGCATCTTAAGAGATTTTGTTTTGTTTTTTTGTGAAACACAGATGTGCACACAATGTATTACAACTGTCATGATGAACTGTAAAACTAGAACAGCCATTGCACTTTGTTTTCTGTAATCGCGCATCTATTCTGGGTGGATAGCATCTGTTTTTGGAGGGATTAGATTTTCTAAAAATTAAATACCAAATCTTTGCTAAGGTATATTTATTTGAGTCAGTTTACAGCCTTATATTATCAAATATTTTAAACACAATATTTTTCAAACTCTTGTGTTACTGTAGGACCAACAGCACCAACGCGCCCCACCGGTGGGACCTAAACCGAAGCCAGCACCATCCCCGAATCCCCCCAGTGGTAATCCTACTGAAATAAGTTCTCCTCCACAAATGTATAAAACTGGGAGAGGTGATCCTAATGCTTCGCAAGCTGAGGCCCCGCCTTCGGTTCCAGCATCAACTCCAAGTCAGGCTGCACCTCAGCCCCTGAGCGATAACCCCAGTCTGGCTAAGGTCCAGCAGGTCATGGCCAGAGTACTGCTGCTTCAGGAAGACGTTGATGAGTTTGTTGGCAAAAAAACAGACAAGAGTTATCGTTGTCTGGAGGAACTGCTTACCAAAGAGCTGCTGGTGCTAGACTCTGTGGAGACTCAGGGACAGGAGAGTGTCCGGCAAGCCCGAAAGGAGGCTGTACAGAGAATCCAGGCCATTCTGGACCAGCTGGAAAAGAAAGCTTTCTGAGCTGGACTTGTTCTGCTTGTGGGTCACTTTGTTTTCATCTTCCTGATCTTCCATGGACATGTTCAGGTTCTTGTCGTCTTTTGCTGACCAGTGTTGTAGGGATTTTTTTTTTTTCTCCTCCCCACCACCATGTTACTATAGAACACCTGTGAAAGGTGGCATGGACCAAAGAAAAAGACACAGCAGTTACTGGCACGTGGAATCAAACTTTAAAGCCTAATAATGCTGGTATAAAAGGTATGGTGGTATTAGACGTGAAAGCTCATGGTTATCTGCGTCAGCCTCAGTGAGTGACTCTATCAGCTGCAAAAGCAGGAGCGAGTCACTGGAAGATGAACTTGTGTAGTGCCACATTGCAGCTCTCTGTTGTCTCTGAGTCAGGACGCAGATTATCATCACGCTGTCCCTCAGGAATGTGGGTCAGTTTCAGTCTGATCCAAAGTGTATCAGCTCTTGCACTTCTTTAGCAGGCTGTCGTTTCATCTCACGGTCCCTTTGCATGATCAGGAAATTGTGCTTTCACCTAATGGAGTAAATGCATTTTGTCCATAGCCACGTACCTCTCCATGCCTCTGTCTGTGTAGTTGTTTTTTTTTTTTTTTTTTTTTTTTTTTTTTTTCTCACTCAGTTTAAGCCCTGCATGCACTGTAATGTCAGATAGGCACTTGATACAATCATGATATCTCAGAGCTCAGAACTGGGCCTTGAGTGTAGCAGATTAGTGAAAATCCCCCAGAAGATTGCTGTTCCCAATTATTTCATCTTTTTTGATGAAGACCTAGAATCAGACCTACATATGAATGCCATGTGTTTCACTTGACTCACTGATAAAGACTTGATTAAGTATGACTGGACAAGCTGTTCCTTTTCTCCATCTTTGAACATTCAAATATATATAAAACTGAAATCTCTACTTGAACATTTTCAGTCATGTTTTATGCTGAAGGACAAGGTTGGATTAAATGTTTTTCTTTCTGTCCTTTTGATAATGAGGACAAATCTATGTTTATATCAAACGGATTTTTGTGTGCGCATCACTGTCCATTATCGTGTGTGTATGTTTTGTTTTGTTTTTCCCTCCTCAGACATTCTTGATGTGTTTTAGCAAAAAGTGCCATATTTAAGAGGATGGGTTTTATATAATTAGGAGAAAAAAAATATATAAAAATATCACAAGGTTTGCATGGAAAAGAAAATCATTTTCTGTGTGTTTATTTCCCCTTCTGCTCAAATGCAACTCGCTGTGTAGTTTTAGATGTAATGCATGTTTCCAACATAGGATGGGGAATTTTGCCTGATAAACGGTGAAAAGATCGCAAGTGAAATGTGGGAGGGGGGGGCAGAAAAATGATTAAATGTCAGTATATTTTTTTTAACTCTTGATCAAATTAGTTTTTGCTTTGCCTTTACCGAACACGCATGAATATCAGACTGTTTAGGTATCAGTCATACAACATTTCTAAATGTTGTTCTGTTTTAAAAATGAGAAGGCTGCTTATTTTTCTCAAGTAGAAACTGGTGCTTGGAGGTCACACTGCCTTCAGCTGCAGGCCTGCATTGAGCTCTTTAAATAGACAGCTATTTGGACGCAAAAGCATTAATGTCCGCCCATGATGGCTCCAAGTGCAGTCTAATTTAATTCAAGGGTCAAATGGCCTGACAACACACAGGACACCCTCCGGTGAGTGAATCTGAGCCAAACAAGCCTGCTCCACTTGAGTCACTGGTTACAGACGACCAACTGTGGAATAGTCTGTTTGCAGTTTTCTTCATCAGCGAAGCTGTAAAAGGTAGTCTCGGCAAACTCTTCCATAACCTTTTCACCTTTTAAACTTTTTGCCTACCCTTAACAAACCATTACAAAAGATAAAATTGCCATGTCGACAGAAAAAGCGATGTCCTATACATCAAAACTTCCTGTGTGGTGGAATGCAGAGCCGCCTCTGCGGAAATTGGAAATTGACCTGAGTTCACCTGGATTAGCTGTGTTTGAGTTGGAAAAACTCTTGTATACTGGCAAAGCCATAATCAGTCATGCAGATGAAGTGTGGCCTAGGCTGTACATTGGTGACCAGTAAGTAACTCCTCTTTATTTCTTTTGATGAACTCTGACATAATCTAACTGCACCTATTCCTCTAGCGTTAGTATTTACTTATATACAGCAGATTCAAATTGAGATTATGACTCTGAGGAAACTTCCTGACTTCTAAATCTCCAAATGTTTTTCTTGTGTTGAGAGAGTCATCTGATACTTTTAGTAAAAATACTCAAATAAATCAAAAGTCCTGGATTCACTCCACATACATGAAAGAGGCGCTGATCATAAATCTGATTCAAATGCAGAATGAGTAACGTGACACTTGTCCTGCTGCGTTCCACAGTGGGAACTTGCATAAACTACAACAACGCCATGTAAGCGTTTGCACCGATGCCTTGGCATGAAAGCAAGACGAATGTTCGAACTCGCATGCTTAAAGTGTTTTTCTAAGGATCAGTTTATCACGATGAAATATTGCATACATGCCGTGTAACCTACTGTCTGAATACAGAGTGGTGTGTTTTCCAGACACAGTGCAGAGAACCAGGCTGATTTGTACAAGAATCACATCACTCACATCCTGAACGCAGCTCACAGTAATCGTAAGGGACAACCAGATATCTATGAGGGAATGAAGATCACCTACATGGGCGTAGAGGCTCATGACTCCTGTAACTATGACATGAGTGTCAACTTCCAGGCAGCAGCAGACTTTATCCATAGAGGTCTGAGCAGAGGAGGTAAGAGGAGAAAGTTAAAAATGATATAAATACAGTTCAAAGGCAAATGGATTTGATGTGTGGAATTTAATCTAATATTTCTCTGTGAAGGCAAAGTGCTGGTCCACTGTCATGTAGGAGTGAGCCGCTCTGCCACCCTGGTCCTGGCTTACCTGATGCTGAAGCAGAACCTCACTCTCGTCGAGGCTATTTGTGCTGTGAAAGAGAGCCGTGGTGTGATTCCTAACCGAGGTTTCCTTCGACAGCTCATCAAACTGGACGAGCAGCTCTTTGGCAAACATCGCTGAAACCCATCTAACAGCATTACTAGTCACCTTTCACGGGTCCAGAAGATTAATCTTTAATGTCAAGATGATGTGTTGCATGAAAGATTTCTTGCGTTTTACTTTGGGGTCTTACAGCATGTGATCCTTTCTTTGGTCTTCATTGTTATGAACGTTAAGATAAAAACATTACATTTGTACATGTTAAATGGACTGATGTTTTACAAGATGTTTAGCAGTCAGCTTAATTTACATAAATATTGTGGAAAAGTTTTGAGCCACCACCGATTTCTTTATATGCCGCTTTCGAGGAACCAAACCTTTTTCGTAATTTTTAAACGTGGTCTTGATCAATAGTTCTGTAGGCTTTCTGAAGCTCTTTCTTTGGACATTGGCCGCTTCTACCTGACCATTTTCAGAGGAATGTGTTGTTGTTGTTTTTTTCTAATGTTGTTAAGCCTCATGGTTAACACTGACTCATGGATCACTTCAGTATAAAAAAGGCACCTAACTCAATGAATGGACCAGTGTGAGAACTAAAGGAGAAGTGCCAGGCCAAAAATACAAAAAGCTATCTACAGCAGATGCAGCATCTGAAAGTCATTGTCTGTGGAAAAAGGAACAAATCCTGACCCGATTTATGTTTTGGGCACTTCAGGTGATCCATCTACTATTCGCTGAAGCCTCATCAGAAATGTTCTCATTGGAAGGCTGAGATCTGTTAAGATGCTATTTTTAATTCTTGCCAAATTACTCAAGAGCTGTACTGAATATCAGTGGCAACAAGTCTTATGGAATGAATCCAAACTTGAAATTTTGGGTTCAAATTGTTGCCAGTATGTATAAGGAAGGTCAGGAGAGAGGCACACTAGAGAGCTGAGAAAAACGATGGAGTTGCTGTCATGGTTTGGACATTCATTTAGGACAGTGGTGTTGATGATCTTGTCAAAACCAATGAACACAGAAAAGTGACATCAGATTTTGACCCACTATGTAATATCATCTGGAAAGCATCTGGTTTGTTAATGCTTCATTTTTTCAGCATGACAATGATCACAAAAACACTTCCGCTACAGTCAGAACTTACCTGGACAGAAAAACACACAATGCAACACTGTCAGTCATGCAGACTCAACGTTATTGAAGCAGTATGGGATCATCTTGACAGAGAACAGAACAAAGAAGGTCTTTCAAGAAGCATGAAGCGCTATTCCTGAAGACTACTTACAGAAAACTCAAGAAAGCAGCCTAAGACAGTTCAGGCTGTGTTGAAGAGTAAAGGTAGTCATACCAAATATTAGCATTCAAGCTTTGTTAAGCTCTGTTTTTGCCTTATATAGTGTATTAACATGTATTTTTGCATTTGTTTCAATAACTGTTTTCCCAACAAAATACTAAGAAATAATGGGCACCTCAAGACCTTTGCACAGTAATGTGGCTCCATGGTGGCCAAATATTAAATGTGTTTTTCAGCACTGCACTGAAATTTTAACTCGACCAATAGCTGTTGCATAAATAAAGAAATTAACTTTTCAAAAGTGTTTTAGTGTTTCATTGCACAACAGAGAAACATTTCTCTCTGACATCAGTGTTGACAGGGTGATATCAAAGTTCAACTGCTATACTGTACAGCACAGCTGGTGATTAGTGATCACCTATGGCATTTTTTGTACCCCTGCGTTAACAAACAATGGCTTTTCTGTGCATTTTGTGTGAACTCAGTTTGATGCCATGATTACAGGGGAGTCATTGCACGGAACAAATGCAGAGGTTGAGCAAGTAAGAGGCTGAGACAAAGAGCAAACAAAGTCAAAGTTCGGCCTGATCGTCCTCATAAATAGAAGGTCTCCCTCTGTCCAGCTTCACTCTCTGTGGCTGATAATACATACAGTGAGCTCCAACCAGAAGAAGGTAAGCGATATGTTTTTTTTATTAGCATGTTTAACTGTCCCGCCATCAGATGCACGGTTATCTTTAATATGTAACATCTGTAGACTGTAAGTTGTAACTTTGATTTTAAGCTCTTCTTAATGACGCTGAATATTTGCAGCTAATTATCATGACGTCTATAAACAGATTTAACCAGCCCATACACAAAACAGCCAATTTGGATTTTAATGTACGTAAGTAAATTCTGATAGGCAACATTAGGGATTAAATCTGGCCCCTCTGCTTCAAATGAGTGAGGAGATAAAGAAACACAGAAATTTGTTGGGAATTTAGCAAAAACTGTTGCAGCATAGCGTGTTGGTCAGAAACTCAGTTCACAGTACGAAAGAGCAAAACTGACTGTTTTCAGGAGCAAATATTGCATAACCCACATGAACAAACAATCGATTGTGAACTTTTGTCTCAGTTGACCATGATGCATGCAGCCTTGGCTATCTGGATCTTATCAGCAGTGTTCTGCATGGGTAGAGGCCATCACCATTTGGGCCATGCCGATCAAGACCAAGAAACTGACAGCAGCCTCTCACAGGTGTCCACAGCAAACAAAGAGTTTGCCTTCCGTCTGTACAGAAAGTTAGCAACTCATGCCGACTTTCAAGGCAAAAACATCTTCTTCTCACCAGTCAGTATTTCTACTGCCTTGGCTGCCTTGTCCGTAGGAGCTCGGGGGGAGACCCACCAGCAGCTTTTCAGTGGTCTAGGTTTCAACAGTTCCCAGCTCATGCAAGCAGATGTAGATCAGTCCTTCCGTACGCTCCTGCAAAACGCAAAGAGTGGTGACACCAGTGAGGGGACTGCCGTGTTCGTGGACAACCGCTTTAAGCCGCAACCCGAGTTCCTGGAGGTGTTGAAGCAGTCCTATTTTGCCGAAGGGTTTAATGTTGACTTCACCCAAGCCACGGAGAGTGTCAATACCATCAACAATTATGTGGAGACCAAGACCAATGGGAAGATTGACAAGCTGGTTGAGAGCCTGGATGTAAACACAGTCATGTATCTCATCAGCTACATATACTTTAAAGGTAAGAGGTCAACTGAGATGAGATTTGGCTGGTCTCTCTTTTATTCCAAGGTTTAAGTTTGATGTGTCATCTGTAACGTGTGATTTATTTCTGCTTATAACCGCAAAACAGGAAAGTGGGAGACTCCGTTCGATCCTCAGGACACCACAGACGACCATTTCCATGCGGAGAACGTTCAGGTTCAAGCAGCTGATTCAGAACGGAGATGAGTTGGAGTAATTATACATCACTGCGCCTAATTCAACCTGTTTTCCAATAAACTGTCACATTTCCAGGTTCCAGTCCAGATGATGAAAATGGAAGAGGATGTTGATATTTATGATGACAAGCTCATTAACACAACAGTCCTCCACCTCCCCTTCAACGGCACCCACTCCATGCTGCTGATGTTGCCTGATAATATGGCAACGCTGGAGAACGCCATTAGCCCGGGCCATGTCAACAAATGGCTGAAATGGAAGAAGCAGAGGTTGGGTAGAATTTCAAATCAAGCTTAATTTCTTGGTTTAGACATGTTCATCATATTTACATATACTTAAAATTTTTAAGATTAAACAAAGAAAGCTGGAGTAAAAATGAAATGCAGTTTCTAAATGATGATTTCATTTATGAAGTGGAAAAAACTACCGATTCCCACCCATCCCTATGTGAAAACGTAATTCCCCTCTAAACCTAATAACTGCTTGGGCCACCTTTGGCAGCACAAGGTGCAGTCAGGCGTTTGCAGGGATTCTGGCCCACTCTCAAACACATTGGAGGGTTTTTTTTAAAAACATGAAATCCTTACTTCAACTTGACCACTCTAAAACCTTTATGTTGTTTTGTTTTTTTGGAGCCAATCAGAGGTGGATTTGAGTTCGTGTGTTTCAGATGATCGTCTGCTGCATAACTCTTCAGGGTGCAAAACATTGTCCCCCAGACTTTTCTGGTAGAGAGCAGAACTCATGGTTCGACCAATTACAGGAAGTCTCCCAGATGCTGAAATAGGAGAGCAGCTTCAGACCATCACACTGCCACCACCATGTTCTTTTCATGGACACGGTCTTAGTTTTACGCCAGACGTAACAGGACTCAAACCTTTCAAAAACTTCAGCTTTGTCATGTCAGTCCACGTACTGAAATACTTGGGGATCATCAAGATTTATTTACTTTTTGGAAAAACTTTGTAACTATTTCCAGACTGATTGGTGTCACTGACTTAGTTTTCCAGCAGTTTCTTTAGATTATGTATTGCTTTTTGAGATCTTTTAGCTTCACTTTGTCAGACTGTTTTTATTTTAGTGATTTCTTGATTCAACAGGTCTGGCAGTAATCGGGCCTGGCTGTGGCTTATGAAATTGTGTTTAATCGTGTGGTTAATCACAGTAAATTCATGTTTTAACAAGGAGGGGCAGTTTATGACACAGGGGCAGGCAGGTTTGAGTAGCTTTTTTTCTGTTAATAAAAGAAATTATCCTTTAATAACTGCATTTTGCATTCACTCAGGTTATCTTTGTTTGATGTTAAAATTTGTTTGATAATCTGAAACAGAAGTGTGACAAACATGCAAAAACTAAGAATTCAAGAAGAGTAAAAATATTTTGTCATACCCTGAATATGCTTGCCGGATGAATATCAATACTATTGATTCCTTTCACAATTTTTAGGAGATACAACATATATGTGCCAAAGTTCTCCATCAAGACTTCCTACAAACTGAGCAAAGTGCTGACTGAAATGGGAATGGCAGACATGTTTCGTGATAGTGCAAATCTGACCGGTATTTCAGAGGCGCATAAACTGGCAGTCTCAGAGGTAAGGACAGTGTTATTAAACACACATTTCTCCCTTTTATTCAATCCTCTCACACGTTTCTCACTCCACTGCGCTGTAGGTGGTACACCAAGCCACCCTGGATGTTGATGAGGCTGGAGCCACAGCAGCAGCTGCTACAGGCATCGGTATCATGCTCTTCTCCTTCCGGATTGTCCCGGTCTTGAAGTTTAACCGCCCATTTATGGTCATCATCACTGAGCGTAACACAGAAAACATTGTTTTCATGGGAAAGATTATTAACCCAAACATCTGATGGAGGAAATGCTTTGTGTTCTTCCACGGTTGTTGCAGTAAACATAAAATACTCAGAAAAACAAAAACAAAAAACACTCACTTGTCATGTCTCTTCTTTTATGACTGCATGGTTTTAGTATTGTTCTACCTGTTTTTGACAAGTAGAAGATAAAATACAAACAACAGGATTCCCAGCATCAGCTTTTCTCAGGGGTAAACAATAATATAGCATGTTTTCAATCATCTTTATTAATAATGATGCGTTATTGTGTAACATGCATAGATGTTGCACTAACACACTTGGAAACCTCTGGGCCAGGCACATGGAAAACCAAAAAAGGCGTGAGATAAAGATGCATACATCTTAAACTATCAAGTCATGCACTATTGCACTTTATGTCAAAAAAGACTGAAAAGACTAAATAGTCATTTCAATATTTCACATTTAATTTGACTGTGAGTACAAATAGCGTTTATTACATGTTATTACATTAAATACATTTTATTTATTCTCTTGAAAGGTTCATGCCAGCAGGGATTAGGCTCTTACCAACAGAGTAAGTTTTCTGAGTTGAGTTCAGATTGCTTTTACTGAGCTGAGTTGCATTATTGTCTGTATTTATTTTATATTTGTATAATATTGTATTTATTTATTGTATTTATTTAAAATAAATTGTTAATTTATAGATTTTTTTAAAGACAACGTGTAGTTTAGTCACCTGACGCTACGTGGCAGCACTGCGCCTCGTAGAGTCTGCTGCGCTGAAAACCAATCAGAAGAAGAAGAAGTTTGCCTCGCTTTGATTGGATGTGAAGGTTTTTTTTTTTTTTTCAAGATATGGCTGAAACAACAGGACAAGAAGGAGCTAAAGGTGGACCACATTATATAAAAGAAAGAATAAAATACAGCCCGGAGGAGGAGGCCAGGCTGGAAAGGAAACATTTCTGGAGAATAATTGATGCTTTTAGATATTACAGGTATGAAAAGGTTTTTTGAAATAAAGACAGGCCGCGGGTGTTTTGTGTCAATACATGGCAGTGTTAGCAAATAATAGCATAGAGAAGAACACCAAGTCTAAAGAGAAAAAAAAAGGCTTACTGATGTGTTTAAACTGTATTTAAACGTTAAATTGCGACACCTACTTTTGAACCAACTCTGCTCGCTGCATTTGACCTCTTTTGATCAGCCCTTTCTGCCTTTCACACTGCTCACAACACACTTAAATACAGTGAAAGAGAAAAAAAGTGAACCTTGTGCACAGTATGGTTATGGTGATCAGTGTAGCTGGTGAAGCCTGAGTCTCAGCTCTGTGTCTTCCTGCCAGGATCCATGTTCAGGAGCAGGTCAAACGCGCGGAGCGTCAGTTTCAGAGTCTTCCGCAGCACCACCAGAATCTGCTGCCACACGTTTTGTCCAACCTGGCCCGGATCGGCCAGTGTGCGGACCACAACCAGGAGGTGCTGCACGCCATCGTCCACCACAGCCTCCACATGTTTGAGAACATGGAATACGGAGAGAGGGTATGACTTAAATCTGCTGTATGAACTGTAATCACAGATCCAGAGCTGGCTATTTCTAGTGTTTTGTCTTTTTCCTGTGATTAGTAAGGCAAAAGTGAGGACAACTATGAAAGAGATGAAGAATAGAAAGGCAGTTTGAGCTGGATGACTTACCTTGAGTGGTATAGAGATGTCTGCAGGAGAGGGCAGTGCACTTTTCAACTCAATCTTTTGAGTGAGAGGATGCCTGAGGAATGAAGAAGTCTACTGCTTCTGATTTTCAAGAACAAGCTATGCAGAGCTGTAGCAACTACAGAGAGATAAAGCCGTTGAGCCAGGATATTGGAAAGAGTTGTTGAAGCTAGGTGTGAAGAGATGTGATGATCTGTGAGCAGCAGTATGTCTTCATGGTGAGAAAGTGCACTATGGGTACGATGTTTACTTTGAGAGTGATTATGGAGAAGGTCAGAAGGAGTTGCACTGTGTCTTTGTGGATCTGGAGAAAGCATATGATAGGGTGCCAAGATGGGAGCTGTGACGAGTAGCAGACAGGTATATGAGCCTGGTGCAGGACATGTATGAGGACAGCAAGACAGTGGTGAGGTTGAGGTAAGAGTTAATGATGGGTTGGAGTTAGGTGTGCCTTTTCTTGTTTGCAGTGATGATGAATAGATGAGGTCAACCAGAAGTTTCCATGAGTTATGATTTATTGCAGACTTCACTGCGATCTGTAGTGAGAGTAGAGAGCAGGAGGAGGAGGAGAGCCTGGAGAGGTGGAGGTATGCTCTGGAGAAAAGAGGAATGAAAGTCAGTAGAAAAGCAAGGCCAACTACATGTGTGTATGAGAGGGAGTTACCTGGAAAGGTGAATCTGAAAGGAGTGGAGGTAGTGAAGGTGGATGCGTTTAAATACCTGGGATCAACCATCCAAAGCACTGAAAAGTGCAAAAGATACATGGGGAAGAGAGTGCAGACAGGGTGGAGTGGGTGGAGATGAGGGTCAGGGGTGATTTGTGAACAGTGTCACCCAGTCCTCACCCAGTGTGGTCTGTAGAACAGCAGCTTGAGTGAAAAGAGAGGCTTACGAGATGGTAGTGAGTCCTGCTGTTATGTATGGTTTGAGCACGGTGGCACTGACAAAAAGACAGGAGGCCAAGCTGGAGATGTTAAGATTTTCATTGAGTGTGACCAGAATGGATAGGATTCATGGATGTAGTGAAGGAGACATGCAGATGGTTGGTGTGACAGAGGAGGATGCTTGGAATGGGATGAGATGGAGGCACATGATCTTCTGTAGTGACCCCTAAAGGGAGCAGATGAAAAAAGACTGTGACTTAATGATGTCTCCATTCTTTTAGCAGGAGGATCCAAGGAAGATTCGTCCATCCTCTACATTTGACATGGACAAACTTAAGTCCACCATAAAACAGTTTGTGAGAGACTGGAGTGAGTCAGGCCAGGCTGAGAGGGACTCCTGCTATAAGCCCATCATCCAAGAGATCCAAAGACTTTTCCCAAGTGATCAATAGTAAGGAGCTTACATGGTAAATTGGACACACACATGCATGCCAATAAAGAGAAAGTCAGTGTTGCTGAATATGTGCATTCAGCTTTTTGCATGCTATAGTTTCAACATCTTGGTGTGATTATGTGACTTACACAGTTTTTTTCTATGTGATATGTGCATTTTGTGCATTTTATTATATCAGTGATGTGTCTAAGGTGAGCGTGCTGGTTCCGGGTGCTGGGCTTGGCCGTCTAGCCTGGGAGATAGCTCGGCTGGGTTACATGTGCCAGGGAAACGAATGGAGCTTCTTCATGCTCTTCTCCTCAAACTTTGTTCTCAATAGGTAAAACTTACACAGAAATGCACAGGCTGAACAGACACCTTAACTAATATTTTCTTTTGCGTCTGTAATCGCTACTCTTACTCTCCTTGTCAATCTTCACTGCTCTATTCAGGTGTGAAAAGGTGAATGCTCTGACACTCTACCCCTGGATCCACCAGTTTAGCAACAACAAGCGATCCTCTGACCAAACACGACCAATCAGATTCCCTGATGTCAACCCTCAGAGCTTGTCACTAAATGCAGACTTCTCCATGGTAGCAGGGGACTTTGTGGAGGTCTACAATGAGCCAGGTAAATAAAATGTATCTTTAACCTATGAGATATTTCTAAAAAGGGGACCAAACTCTACTCATGTTGTTCGAAAGTATACATTTTTACATCTACAAAAAGCACAATATAATTGACTCAAACTTTTCAATGTGGATGTACTATAAAATATGCTCACTGGTCACTTCATTAGGTACATTTTGCTTCTGCTGGTTTGGATTCCCTTTGCCTTCATAACTGCTTTAGTTCTTGATGGCACAGATTTAACAAGGTGCTGGAAACGATGAATACATCTCACTCATGTCCACCTTAGTAATATTAGTAATAAAAAAAATGCATAAGTATTAATAAAGATTATTATATTTTGTGTTTCTGGCAGAGTCCTGGGACTGTGTGGCTACCTGCTTCTTCATCGACACGGCTCATAATGTGTTGGAGTATGTGGAAACTATCTGGAAGATTCTTAAGCCTGGTGGAGTGTGGATCAACCTGGGTGAGTGTCCGTATTCAAACTATTAATAACTACTGCAGGTCCTCATTAAGCTAAGCTAGTTATAGTTGCTGCATCTTATCATCCCCCCATTAAGGCCTTATTAGATCTTCTTCACTCACTCTGTAATATCTTTTTATAGGGCTGGATTTTGTTCACATTAGTAATTATTTATGTTGACTTTTTTTTTTTTTTTGGTTTGTTTAGAAAAAATGAGCCATAATAATAAATAGAGGGGATCTTTATATTTCTTTTTTTTTCTTTTTCAGTTTTAAAACAAAATTGTTTTGATTGAATAGAAAGGAAACACGAGTCTTACTTTCACATGGATGAGATTTTCTCCTCTTAAGTCGGTGAACTTAACAGTGTAAACATTCTTTAATATTTTCAAGGTCCACTGCTGTATCACTTTGAGAACATGGCCAACGAGCTCTCAGTTGAGCTTAGCTACGAAGACATTAGGACAGCGATGGTCAGATTTGGCTTCCACATCGAGGTAACCTGAAGACCTAAATATTACCGCTTCAGCCATACGCTTGTCCGAAACCTTGCTCGAGAAGTAAAATCAAATTAAACTTCCTCCCGCAGGTGGAGAAGGAGTCAATGCAGACCACCTACACAGAGAACGACCGGTCGATGCTGAGATACGTTTACGACTGTGCCTACTTTGTTGTGCGGAAGCCTGCAGAGCTGCAGTACTTTAATGGTCAAAACGAAGACCAGCTACAAAACTCTCCACCGGCTGCTAAGTCGCCACGCCGAGAGGGTCCCGACAGCCCGACGTGACAAGATGTCCTTTGACAAAACCAAGTGAAAGCATAAGAGCACAATCCTTGGCTGAAATATGACAACAAAGGAAAAGGAACATTTTCCTTTTGGCCAGATATATTTTTAAAAATGTCTGCCCGAATCCACAAGACCTTGAAGTGGCTCAAAATGGGGAATGTAATATGAAGTAAGGTGATGTGATATGAAGTAAAGTGATCTGTACCATCTGAACAAAAGTCAAAATACTGGGTCTGAGATGAATCACTTACCATTGGCTGCTACTTTGTGTTTGTGGTTTGTGTGTCAGCTGCTGGCCACGAAGACCATCATTTTGTTTTTAGGCTCCGTGTGTGCATGTGATAGGAGAATGTGATAGGAGAATGTGATGTGAATGCCTGCTTTTCCTTTTTTTCCTTTTTTTTTTCTCTTTTATGTGCCAATAACTACATCTAATATTTTTTTTATATTGTTTGTTTTGGACTGTCATCACACTTTGAAATAAAGCCTCACATTTTAAAAATGTGATTCTCCAGTTTTACTTAAACACATTTTCAAATACATTAACACCAACATAACAGAAAAGACGACAACAGGTCGACGATATCTAGAATCTCTATATACAAGTAATGAATGTTGCCAATAAAAACAAAGGTAGTAGAATTTGAAGAATCATTTTTTTAATGAAAGTTTGACCTTATTTGAGGTCAAACATAGTTTTAAATAGCTCTATATAGCACTATTATAACCTTCAGATCAATCTATTGACCTTAAAGGAGAGGTCAGAGGTCAAATGTGACATTCTATTTATAATCTTTATAAAGTGTCCCAAAAAGTTGATTCTGTTTATCTCGATGTAGTATTTTCAGTGTGAGAAAGGTTTTTGTTATTAATCCAAGTGACTTCTTTAGTTCAGCTGACTGCAGGTTTCCCCAACCTTTAAACAGTACATCTCTATAATGACTGAAATTGGCACCAATGACTAACAATATGGTGCATGCTTTCTATATGTCGACAACACACATGACACTTGTCATGTAAAAGGCTTTTCTGTCAGTTTTCGACCAATAATACATTGAGCTAACAGGCAAAAAATTAACCAAAAGCAGTTTTAAAAAGGTGAGTTTTGAGTTGTTTTTTTAAAAAAACAGCTACTGAGTCCGCAGTTCTTAATGTTTGGGGGAGAGAGTTCCACAGTCTAGGGGCCACAGCTCTATCACCCTTAGTCCTCCTCTTAGTATTTTTTAAAGCAAGTAAGCCCTGATCAGATGACCTCAAAGACCTGCTAGGGACATAGGGCTGTAGCAGATCAGGCAGGCTGGTGCCAGTCCGTGCACAGCTCTGTAGGTCAAGACCAGGATCTTAAAATTGACTCTAAATTTAACAGGAAGTCAGTGTAACTGAGATAACAACGGTGTCACATGTGAGTACTTGGAGGATTTTGTCAAAAGCCTAGCTTTCCTCATCCAGTGTGGTCTGTGTTTTTGTGTCAGTGCACATATTTTCCTGAGCCCTGATGTACACAAACCAATGAGTATCAGGCAGTGTTGTAAATTGCAGGAAGTAGATGAGAGTTAAGTGATTGGAGACTGGGTGCTCTGGGCGGGGCTAGAAAGCAGTGCTCTATTCTGATTGGTTCTTTGCAATAATTCTACTACCGGTGCTCATCATTTCGAGATCGTGCATCACTAAACACGCTCCTGCGCACTTTCGGTGTTATCCAGCAATCACAGGGATTTCAGGTTTTCTGTGCACATCGGTGGCGTACCGGCAGACTGCATGGCAAAGAGGCGCGCCGAGGACACTCTGCTGCACAACTCTCCCTCCAAGAGGTGTTTCCGCTCCCTTTGCGCTGTTGACATACAGGCGGAGAGCATGGCTCCGTCCGGGGGCGTGAGCCCGCCGTCCCTCCTGGCTTTGCTGGGGACCCGCTGCAGAAAGAGGCCGCAATATTTCGATGAAGAAGAGACCGCTTCTTATCGCAAGACTTCACACTACGATGCCAGGAAGCGTGCAGTAAATGTTTCGGCGGTGCAGACGTCTGGAAGTTTCCAAGACCGTCGCAGCTCTTCAGTCACGAGCTCCCAGAAACGACCACGAGAGGGCAGCGAGGAGCCAGATACCGCTGTTCCCAAATCTAATGATAAAGTAAGTTATTGAGAATATAACAGAAGTCGGGGATGTTCACTGCAGTTTTAGCGACCATGCAATACAACTGAATTTGGTGTGATTACAGTGAGTGTCCACTAGATGTCACCATTTACACATTCTAGACTTGTTTTTTCTGTACTCTGTATAGACCAGTGAAAAGGGGACTGATTGGTCAGCAGGTAACAAAATGTTGCCACGTAGTTGCGTTTGGACGTTACATTTCTATCTGTCTGTTCCCTTTCAGGCTGATGAGGACGCAAACACTGAAGACTGCACTTACAACTCCTTCCAGTATTGGAGGGTGCCTTTACCTGAGCTTGACCTTTCACTGCTAGAAGATGCAAGCGCCCACTCAAAAACAAAAGACAAGTCAAAAGCATCTTCTTCTGACGCCATGGAGACTTGAAGATGATTGGTACAGCGAGGCCTATTGAAAGCTGCCTCTTCCCGTTTAAAGCATGGGAACATGATGAGGACAATGTGATGTTCTTCAGCAAATAGAGGCATCAAGAACAGGTTACTTGAAATGCATCAAGGTGAGATGCGATAACCGAAACCTGCCAAGGCTGCCCCTGTAGAGCAATACAGGCTTTATTTATTTTATTTTTTCCCCCTTAAGTGGAAAACAGTCTAATGCAAGATTTCACAGACCTAAGTGGAACTTTTTTCAAACCTTTTATAGATCCAGCAGCTTTGTGTGACCAGCATTTAGACAGCCTGATAACAGCAGTGACTGATCTCCCATGTTCAATGCTGAGTCCTTACTTTGCAAACCTACAGTTGAGTAGGATTATATAAATATGTGTCTAACTAATTAGAGATCTAATTAAAGATGCATGCTTGGTCTGCAGATAATAGTTGCCTTTCAGAACAAATTTGGTCCAGTTGTGTAGGGTTGCACTTTTTAAATTGTGTGACTGAATTGTTGGTTGTACATTTTGTACACATCTGATTGCCAGTTAGAGCTGGTTGTTACATGCCTTTGTATTCATTGACAATAAAAATATATATTTGTGAGTTTTCTTTTAATTGTTTGGTTTTATTTATGGTTTTATCAACGATAATGCTGACCACCCTCTACACCACATACTGGACAGGAAGCGGAGATCCATCTGTAACACATTCATACCACATGTATTCACATTTTATTAGGTCTGAAGTATTGTGGCCAAAATGATAATCATGATTATTTGTCACGATTATTCAAAGAGTGACAAAAAAATTTTTTATTGCACTGTAACAAAAAAAAAATGCTTTCACATCTGTTAAGGTTTTTGTGTTAACATTCAGCTGATCCTCAGCTCTCTTTGCAAACCATTTCTGTTTGGTAAACATCAGTTGTGCAGGGAACAGCTGTGGTTGGCGTATCCAGGCAGGTGGTCAGATGCTGCATTATAAAGCACTTTGGTTTTAAATTTAAAACAGTGGACTGGGCATCGGATAATTGTGCAGCCATAGGCTGATTCACAATTACAAGAACTGAGCTGAAAAGCAGCTGCAATAGCTCTGATGCAGTGATGAATCTTCAGTTGACTGCTCCCTCAAGAGGCCACCACAGTGAAACATCTGCTTCTATCTGACCCCATCAAGAGCATCCTCTTCTGTCGCACCAACCCTGCACGTGCTCCTTCACTATGTCCATGGATCTTTTTCATGGTCTTCTTATGTCTTGCTGCTCCTTTTTCTACATCCTTTGTCCAATGGAGTGAAAAATCAAAGTTGGAAATTTTCCGTAGAAATTGCCATGAGAATGCAAAGAGGAGGGCAGGAGAGAGGTGTAAAACATGACCGAGGCTGTGTCATGTTTTGAGCTGCAGTTTAGCCAATGGTGTTGTGGAGGTTGTCAAAACTAATGCAAGTATGAAAGCACAACAGATTTTGATTCACCACATATCACCATTTGGAAAGCATCTGATTGGCAGTGGGTTTATTCTTGCATGATGATAATCTCAAACACATGTCAGTACGGTATAAATATACCTGAAAAGAAACCCACACTGGAACACTATCTTTCGTGGATTGGCCTCCTTAGACCCCAGACCTCAACAATACTGAAGCAGTGTGGGATCCTGGTGATAGAGAACAGATCAAAAGGCAGAAACACCTAAAGACCAACTTTGAATGTGCTTCAAGAACCCTGAAGAACTCTTTCTGAAGACTACTTGAAGAAATTACAAGAAAGTTTGCCTAAGAGAGTTTGACTTTGTGTGTTTGGATGTTTCAATAAAACTGAACCTGCACCTATTTCTAAATTTCCTAGCTAAATATAAATATTAGAGGGGTAGCTCAAGATTTATCTATCTGACAGACATCTGCCATATATTATTATTGTTATTATTAATATTAATATTATTATTGCAATGGAAAACTTGCTCTTCTGTCCTGCCCAAGTGTACAACCCTGTTTATTTTACTGCCACTGCAGGTGTTTTGAGCCTCACTGCGCTGTGTGAAACTTTGCTTGAGCCAGAGCTGACGACACTTTAGTAAGATTTTTGACTCACCAGTGTCCACTTTCACCAGTCACCACATTCCTTCATGAGAAAGAGGGGGAGAAACCCTTATTGCCTCAACCAATAAGGGTGTCTCCACTCCTTAAGTTTTCACCTCCTTGACAACTTAAGGAGGTGAAAAACTCCTAACCGAGCTGGAGGGAGGAGGCCATGAACTCCCCAAGGCTTCCTGGAAACCTGCCCTTTGGACCAGCGACTGATTAAAGGGCGCTCAGTCCTTGTCGGGAGAGTAATGATGAAGCGGAGTGTCTTTGCTAGCCTCGAACATGTTTATAAATGAAGTTTGCAGTCATGGTAAGATATATGCTAATATTATATATAAATATATATATATGTACTAAGTAGGTCAGCTTATTTCCAACAAGTGTACTTTTTACGAAATGTGAACTTGAACTCATGAGAAATTTGAACAATATTTCTCTGTTACCGGTTTGCTAACAGTGATATTAGCAGCGCTTAGCGGTGATTTTAAGTTAGATAAAACGGTTAATAGTAATAAACTTTTAATGAACTAGTGTAGTAACATAACACGGGTGTTTATTGTGCATACAACGTGTTAAACTGTTGGTCCTGCTGCTGCACAATGGGCGGTTTTATTTAGTGCATATAAAACTGTAACAGTTGTAACTGTTCACTTCGCTAACCGTGTAGACTAATCAGAGGAAGAGGATGTATAGGTCTGTGTATGTGCTCATGTTTCCTGAAAGCAGTTCTCTCCCTGCAGTGAGGCCATTGTTAAATATTCCTGGGAAACATGAAGGAAAGATTACTGTGAAGGGGAACGAGGGGCTGAGTGCTGCAGCTCAGGGTTTTGGTGTTTGCATTTCAGCTTTCTGTGATGGGGAGGGATCTACACTTACTACACTGTTTGCTCAGCATGTGATCGACACTAAAATGAGCTTCACTGAGAAGGTCACTGATAAACGCGCTTTTTATTTCAGGACTAATGTGCTTCCACTTCCTAGAATACGAGTCAATAAAGAAGACAATATAGTGCTTAACAGCTCCAGTATCTGTGTGCTGTAAGTAAATATTTTCTGCTTTTCTTTTTTTAGTCCAGAAAGTGTTGGATTGAGGAAACCTTCTTCAGGAGAGAGTGTGTGAAGTTCATCCCTTCCTCTTGGGATCAGCACAGGTAAACTGGGATCTGATTGCACTGATTAGCTTTTATGATTCTGAGAAGAAACACACAGATTGTAGTATAACATTAACAGCAGCTATTTGAAATAACATTTTTCTGAGAGCAGAACTATTTGGCATGTAGCCCTTACTTCCAGGAATAGCAGCCATGTGGATATTTTGATAACGCTTCCTGTCTCTTTCAGATGTATTCCAGTATGCCACGTTTGCCAAAATTTGATAAGGTATCACTGATGAATATTGTGCTGAAGATGCTGTCCTACCAAACTCTTTCTTATTTTCTTACTACATACTTCTGTGTTGTTTTCTCCCTCATTCTTTCAGCATTTCATCATGTCCTTTTCTGCCTTTTTTCTCCTACATTTGCACTGCACCGTTATGGGGAAATGGCAGGAAATGTGTGATTTTCATGGTCTGTTAAATGATAACAACAGCCAGACATAGAAATGTGTACTCAAGGGCAAAGGGAGGTGGAGAGGAAGTGTGGGATTTAGAAAATAAATGGAAGAATCACTGAAGGCTGGTTTAAAAAGTCCAGGTGGATTTCTTTCATCTTTTAGAGCTTGTCATGCGCCTGCATATTATTATTGCTTATTAACAACCCTGCCTCTATTTTGAGGAGCTAACATGTAGTTAAGTGTCACTGATAATTTTGTTACTGTTTTTTGGGCTCTTCCCTATTATCTAAAAGCAGACTATCAGAAATAGCTACTTAATTTAATTTATTTAAAATCAACAACATTATGCTAAAGTGTTGTAAAAGTATGATTGAAGTTAATCATTCTAAAAAATTACCTTACGATGCTTCTTCCTATGCATCTATGCAATGTCGTTCTATTTGCTAGATGTTGCTGCGGCCACCTGATAGGGGAACACTCTTGGCAAGACTCCCTTCCTCCATTGTCCCTCTGTCCTGGTCCTGGACAGGATGTGGAAGAGGAGTGGTCCATGGAGCGCCACACCAGGGCCAGTCCCACAAATGCCTATGGCACCGTAGACTTTGAAGATACTGCCACACGTGTCTGTCGAGCCAAGGTCTGTGAGTTTACCAGCTCTGTGCGTGTCTCTAGGCCAAAGGAACATTTTTTCAAAAGTAAAATGGTAAATGTACACACGCTCAAGAGACTGCTTCAAATATAGAAGCAAATGCTTGCACTCTGTTAATAAGACCTAGATTTTGATGGTTGCGTAAAGTTTGCTTTGCTATGATGTAAGCAGGCTTGGTCGCGATGCATGAAAGCAGAGATGCTATCTAATGTAGTGACAAAACAATCGGCTCAGCAGCACCTCAGAAAAGTACAAAGAGCTTCTCAGTTGGAAACACTTTCATGTTTTTCCAGTATGTTCGTGTTGCTGTCGACTCCAAGCCAGAAGCATTACTCCAGCTGATGTTTAGGGAATGGCAGATGGAAAGACCCAAGCTACTGCTGAGTGTCCACGGAGGCTCCGAAAATTTTACCTTGCCACCTAAAGTCAACCAGGCCTTTAGCAAAGGGCTGATCACTGCTGCCCTCAGCACAGGGGCATGGATTTTCACCGATGGCATTAATACAGGTAAGTTTTACAATTTTTTGTGGAGTATTATTTTCTGCCTATCTCCAGTTAGTGACTGGCAGCAATCTCATTACTTACATCTGAAAAAAAAAAACTACGTTGATCTGTGTTCTGTTTCTAGAAGGTTCAGTTTTGGTTAGTTTCTGTTAGGTTTCATTTCTGTATGGCGTGCTGTTGTAAAAGCACCCCGTGGATTTTAGTGCTTTTGTTCTTATTGTGTATTTGCTGTGCATTCAGCTACTATTTGCATGCCCTCCAGGTGTGTCTAAATATGTAGGTGATGCAGTTAAATCCTTTGGAAGCCATGACCTGAGGAAGAGAAACACAGTTGGCATCACACCCTGGGGAGTGATTGACAACAACATGGACCTTATAGGCAGAGATGTCAGTACTGAAACTGTGTTTTTGCACGTTACTTCATTCCTCACCACATTTTTTTGATATATGCAGAGTACCATATCCCACTGCGCTGCTTTTCTTTGTCTTTGACTGACACTGATTCAACATCGCTTCAGGTTTTCAGGCCTTACCAGCCTCTGGGAAACCCTTTGAGCAAGAGAGCCTGTCTCAATGGTTTCCACTCCCACTTCCTGTTGGTGGATGATGGAACGCTGGGCAAGCATGGCTGTCAGCAAGGCCTCAGGAGGAAGCTGGAGAAGCACATACAACTACAGAAGATACATCCCCGTGGGTGTTTTTGCGCAAAAACTGACAAAAGAAACAAAATAGGAAGCACACAGATTTGACTGAAGTCTTATCATCATCTCTTCTCTTTTTTGCAGGACTGAACCAAGGAGTGCCTGTGG